TGATGATGATGATGATGATGATGATGATGATGATGATGATGATGATGATGATGATGATGATGATGATGATGATGATGATGATGATGATGAGGTTGTGCTGGCGCGACATGACCACATACCTGGATTACCCATGAGGTCTGATAAGAGCGAAGCTAGGGTCAGATACTTGTCTTTTCTGGTGTGAGCTAACCACATTATCGTACCAGGCCAAGCGGAAAACCTTCAAACGGTCTGAAACGTTTTCAGCAACCATATCAGTAGTGTGCTACATTTAGTATGAGTTATGTCCATCCGTTCTGACCTGGATTACCCATGAGGTCTGATAAGAGCGAAGGGAGGGTCAGATACTTGTCTTCTTTGGTGTGAGCTAACCACATTATTGTGCCAGGCCAAGCGGAAAACCTTCGAACGGTTTTCAGCAACCATATCAGTAGTGTGCTACATTTAGTATGAGTTATGTCCATCCGTTCTGAACCAATGTCCAGTTATTACACTCCCTCTAAGTCATCATGTTTCTGCTGCAAATTTCCAGCTAGCCTCCCAGCGTTCCACACGACGTCAGTCGTATTTAGATAGAACTGTTTGCAAGAAAAACTGTTTAACCTCACACAGTTTGTGGACCAGTTGTCATTGTCCTTTGAACTGTATTATTTTGAAACTAAGGAATGAACATTTCCGCATGTGCGTCAGAAACAAGCTTGAGACTGACTGGAAACTGGGAATATTTAGACGAGAGCTTCAGAGGGCTGTGCGCGACGCAACACGTTTGGCAGATTCATGCGGTGAACAGATCAAACAGTAACTTCACACGATGCGATTGTAAAAACGTTCATTCCACAAAACGCTTACTGAGGTAAAATTGATCAGGGAGAATTTTTGCCGCTGAAACTCACAGTAGTATCTTGAGTGAATATCAGTTTATGTCATGAGAAAAAGTAATTGAGATATGTAAACAGGTTTGGTAGGGTATTCCTATTCGCTTGGGATGAACGACTCCCGGTCAGGCAGTTTTGATGACTAATACTAATCAATAATACACAGGGCGAATTTAGCATCAAACAGATCTGTAGCTGGTTGCTAGGTGAGCTTTGTTTCATTAAGATATTAACTGGCGAAAAAACTGTAGTACTGTTGATGTCTACATTGCGTATCAATTCCTGAAATCTTTTTGCCGTCACTGAGGCTGACCAACATTCCAGCGGCCGCACTGGAAACAACTTGAATTCACAATTTGGCTGTGCGCAATTCCGGCAGACACCTGGGTCCACCGTGCGTAGTTACTTTGTTCACAATGACTCGCATCAGCAGTCGTTGATATAACCAACCGTTGGACCGCTATCGGCGTTGACAAGGCAGAAAACACAGGCGTTGCGGGCTGAGACACACCGAGATGTGGTCATTCACTGATCATTTAGTCTTACCAAACACCCACTAACTTCGAAGTTGTAGCATGGCTACGAACGTCGCGTGCTCCTGTCTTGTTTCCAGCGTTGCATGGCTCAATCAGATGAGTGACTACCTGTTTTCTGTCGGCAAACTTCCTGGGGGTACCTTCGAACACCGGCGATGTTGGATTTTGTGTGCGTCTAGGTAAGTGTGTGTATGACTGCCGCAACTTTGTCAAAACATACATGATGGTTATCTGTCTAAGTGATGCGTCACTTGCGTTTTCAAACCGGTGTGTGTGTGAAAAGGGTGTGCACCAATTAAATACTGGTTCCCATGCCCAGTGGAAAGGTGCAACATGTAGTCTGAAGGCAAACTTGGAATTCTGGCGTTTCTGCCAGAGCTAGCAAGACATTCGTTTATGTCCTTCTTTCCACAATTTAAAAGCTACAAATTTCAAACCTAGCATGCTAGCCTGAAGGTGTGAACTTTTAACTATCACAATTCTCAGCGGTATGAAAATCTTGTCGAATCAACTGCTTTGAGCTGCATCCATTGAATTCTACAATTAACCCGATTGATGGAATTGAATTGAGTTGAATTCAAAAGGAACTGGTATTATTCCGTTCTGCAGACTATTTTTGTAGCATCACAGTGTTAGGGATTGTGTGGAATCATCACGACCGATCGATCGCTACTCGAACTACACACCACGTGATCTACGCAAAGCGATCTGCTGCGTAATACAAGAATCGGTCCATCGGATAAGCCCAAAAAGGTCTAGAATACTGACCCCAGTGGAGGATCGCTCTCAACGAAAATCAAATATTCAATTAGTCTAGCTTGGCTACAAGACCAAGTGTTCATGTGAATAGACAAAGCAAAAAACTGACAACGTGACCTGTTTTTTGCCAGACTTACCTGGCTTCCCGTGTATCCCGGCGTCGGACCACATTGGGGCTTGCGTTATCTGAATCTGACCTGTGAATAACGCACTCGGAGCGGTAATGATGTATTCTTGTGTGGTGATTAGAATACTCAATGGCTTTCTTGTTTCAATGAGCTTCTGCTGCTCCACAGCTGGAAAAGTCCTATCTCTCCGGGTTTGGTCTGTGACAAGAATACCATGCCTAGGCAGAACACGCTGCCGTTCACCGCCAATTCCTACGCTGAGAATGCTAGATTCACGGTCGGCAGATGTCCACTGATATCCACCTCTGTCCAGATTGTCATTGTGTTCTTTGTGGAAGCAAAAAGATGAGATAATATTTTAGGATAACACCACGATTGCTAATTCACGGATCTCATGGTATTTGTGAAAAATGCATTGGGACTCCTTGTGTATGTGTGTGTGTGTTGAGCAAATATCCCCTTATGCGTCCGTCGATCGCAAAAATATATCAGGTAGTTGATCCCTCGCGCTCGCTTTTCCGCTGCTTAGCTGCCTCCTTGAAACCATTCTAATTCAATGACACACACAGAGAGAGATAGAGAATGGCAACAGAGGATCCCGACAGAAAATTTCAGCCGTTCATGTGAAAAATTGGGACTCCTTGTGTATGTGTGTGTGTGTGTTGAGCAAATACCCCCTTATGCGTCCGTCGATCGCAAAAATATATCAGGTAGTTGATCCCTCGCGCTCGCTTTTCCGCTGCTTAGCTGCCTCCTTGAAACCATTCTAATTCAATGACACACACAGAGAGAGATAGAGAATGGCAACAGAGGATCCCGACAGAAAATTTCAGCCGTTCAACTTGAAATCATCGTAATAGTAGTCCTTTTAAACGATTCGTTAGAAGTTTAACTTGTAGTCCTTTTTCGATGACTCGCATCACCACGTACTGGTGATTGGAATTGTCAAAGCGAGTTAATGTGGATGGAGTAGAGTCTGTGTAGGCCAATCGAAATAAAAGTGGATGACGACTCACTACCAGAACAAGAAGAGTCGAGCAATCACCTATTGGTGGCTATGGTACTGACGGCAATAGCAATGCCTCTGTACCAAATTGCGTCAATGCAAGTGCGTGTCTGTGTGTCCATGGGAAGGCCAGACACACGTGCGCACAGGTACACTACGTATGGTTACGCAAAGTGTTTGTGTGCTTGAAGGAAATGGGACTGTGGCGAGGCAATGGCAACCAACCGTGCGTGACTTACGGACAGACGTCACAACAGGCTGTTTGCTTGCATCAACTTGGAGCAGTTGTGTAACGGTCTCGGCTTTTAGAGAGGCTAGGTGAAGGATCGACGACCGTAGAGAGCAAATAAGTACAGACGGACGTTTCCGGAACTGCTGTTGGTTCATGCTTCGTGAGGACGTGGTCCACACACGTACAGAGGTACACATAAACTGACGAGTTGTGATTGAACCTTTGACCAAGCTGGTTTATGGATACACGGAAGAGACTCTGCAAACCCACGAATGATCCCATTCTCGTTTATTGCTTGACTCTTGAGTTGCGGATGACCTCTAACCATCTGTCACCCCATATGACATCCGTACAGGAAATCCTGGAATAGCGTGTTCCGTCTAAATTCGACGCCCCTTCATCGTGATTGTGCCAAGTGATGGTAGAATGATATCATGTTTTGTTGACGGCTTCTTTGCATTTAAACAAACCCAAGGTGTCAAGTTTAAATATAGGGAGACGTCCCCGGTTTAGTTAACGTCTTCCGGACTGCTTCATAGAGTCAATAAGGTAATAATGCTCCGAAATCTGTTGCAGAACGAATATTTTGATTGATTCATAGAATGTAGTCATCAGATGCAACAGCTTGTTGGTTGCCATCAAATTGGTCCATCTGACCCTACTCACCAGACGGTGAACTGTCTCCTCGTTTTATCTTTTCACATTGGTCAGGTAATGAGAGCATATGGGTCTGTGACTCACAAAAAATTAAAATAAATTTACTGGTCAACGGCCCAAACACCAATCCGTTCGAATTAAAATTGAATTTAATGACAGCACAGCTCGCTTTCCATTCGTAACTTGTGCTGTTTACATGATTCAATCGGTTGGAAACACACTGCTAGGAAAAACAACAAGGAAGTTTCAACGAGAAAAGAGCATGTACACACGAGATTTCGGACCGAGTTGTTGTTTATCCCTTCTCCCGTGACAGACACAGAAAGCTAGTAGGTAAATAATAGGAAAAAAAATTCTCACTTTATCTGGAGTGGATGATCCAACCCAAAGAATCCTCTGTACTGACAGGATAAAGAATATTACGATATGTGACCACGTGACTAAAACACCCCACCATATCATACTTTGTCATGTAAGCTGTGCTATAGTACATCGTGTCATACAATACTAATCCGTACTGGGCTACGCTGCACTATATCGCGCTTTATTGTACTTTATTATGCCACATTATCATAATAATATAATATAATATAATATGATATAATATAACATAATTATAATATAATATAACATGATATGATATAATATGATATAATATGATATATGATGTAATATAATATAATATAATACGATA